AAAACGGTTTTAGTTTTTATACTATAAATGTAATATTTGTTGTCTGTCATTGTAGCTGGGAAAATTTTACTTAAAGCTCATAATCTTACCACTTGAAACATCACTAGCCCTGAAGCTGCTGGTAGACATCGCGGTTGGAATTATCAAAGGTTTTTGACACCTGAGACACACCGTAGCAACTCCTTTGTGTTTGGAAGCGGGGGTGGGGGTGGGGGGAGGACCAGGGAGGATGATTCAATCACTCAACCACTAGATGTCGCCAAATCCTACACACTGTGCCTTTAAGGTCTAAAATGTAAAAATGCCAGTGGTTCTTTCTTGTGTTGTAAGTTAGCCTCCAGCACAGTCAGCCAGCCCTTTGGCTACTCACCTGAGGAGCCTGAGAGTATAACGCTAGCTCAAATGTTTAGCATTGTGAGCAAATGTTAGCACTAAGCACCGATGGCTGAAACCAAGCGGATTAGACCGACACCTGCTGCCTTCAAGCTGAGGTAGGGTTGCAAACCGTCCCTTAGCCACAATGTTCATATTTTAAACCAAATTAAAGTGTCCTGTACAGGATGCTCTTTCTCCCAGTCTGCCGTCAAAATGCAGCAGGCAGGTAAGCATTTGTTTAARGCCCCAAGCTAAAGGCGATTCCTGAAGGACAGTACTGAAGGGGCCAAATGCAATAACAAAATAAAACACTGAGTGCACTGAAATGACTGYTGTCCTCYTGCCCCGTGATGGAAACACATTCTGGAGCAGCTTCATTTCATCCATTGACTGAAATTCAGCACAAGATATAGGCTGTTAGTGTGGTGGGTAACCATATATTTTTATAGTAAATTAATGTTATCAATCAAAAAGCTGCCACATAAATATTAATAAACTARATAATGGCATATTTGACCTAACCATTGAAAACCTATAAAATACGTAAAATGGCATATCTCAATATATCTCCTTGCTTACAATATTGTGAAATATCGTATCGTYTGTCAAATATATCATATCACCAAATTCTTGTCATACACAGCCTTTGTCCAGACAGGATGCCATTCAGTTCTTCCCTCTGCRACATCGTACCCCCACTTTGCACCCAGKAGGTGATGTTTTGTGCCACTTGTGCCAGCCCATGTYTTTACAATAAGCACTGAACATCTCCCTGTGACTCAGTACAGTGGAGCCTGCATAGGTTTGAGATTTGTGATAAAAAAAACTTTTTATTATAATTATTTGACATTTTATTGAAACCCCCCCCCCCCACATCCCATTATTATTACCAAAAAATGTTGACAGAATAAAATGAGATGTTTTTTGTGTGTGAAAACGTACGTTCATCTGTGGGGATGGGCTTACATAGCCACCCTAAATTTTAATTGGTTAGTTTATTTATTTATTGTATTTGGTGGTTGGCCTGGTGCTTTTTCCGTAATGTGACCATACAGTAAAGCTAACTAAAAATGAGTGAGAAAACTTTAAATTGTTAAAATCTTTTAGAAAAAGAATTTAAAAAATACGAAAAAGAGCTGAAATGAGGTSAATGTTGTTGCTTCGCCTCGCACCTGAGCCTGGAAATTTCTGTTGTCCTTGTGTGGACAGAGCTAGCTTCTCTCTGCCTTCACCACGCAGCTACAACTCGCCCACAAGAGCCRAGCCAGCAGCTCAGGTAACCCCTAGCCACCTGGTTATTGACTGATCAGTCCCGCAATCATCTTTTAGTTTGAACAAAATGGGTTCATAGATTGACCGGCAGCTTTCTGAGCTGCTGTGGGTTATTTGTGTGAATCACTTTTACCTTCATGAAAAAATTAAAAATACCTTAGGCAAATTTCTCRCTGATAATCACCTTTAACTGACATCACCCTTTTCCCAGTTTGAAGTATTGCAAAGGGCGTACAAAGAAAGAAAAGTGGATGTGAAGTGACCAAAGCTGTAATTTGGTAGAGAGAAAGATTTACTTTGAACCATTAGAACATGACCAAGACCAAAGTGGATTATTGCTCTTAAAACTATAGATTAAATGATCACGCAGAAATGATTTTACAAACCTTTAAAATGCAAGAAAGTTTGTCCAAGTTCCATCAGAAGTTTGAAGTTGTAATTTGTTGTACTTGTTAAAATTCATATCTTATTTTAAAACAAACTTTATTGATCAGGTGCTTCTTCCTGTTTATTCAAAACCTCTCTGTGAAACACTTTTTGGTCAACTTTGTTGGTTTCAAATGTATATAAATAAATCTGACTTTACACAGTTGTTCCTTTCATCAACATCATGAGACACAGTTGCAAAAAGTGCACCTGAAGTGCTACAGCTAGCTGCTGCTACCACTATTTGTGCTTGTAGAATCACAGATTTCTATGTAAATAACTGTAGTGTGAAATTGACGCAGAGTTAAATTTTTTATGAAATAGTGTAAAATCAGATAAATAAGGATTGTTTTGAGGTTTGAACTGCTGTTCAGTTGTTTAGAACCGTAGCCTTGCAGCAAGAATGTTGCAGGCTTTTCTCCCATCTGAGGTCTTTCTGGGTGAAGTGTTCTGCATGCAATGTGCATGCATAGGTTTTCTCTGGTTACTCTGGTTTCCATTGGAGAAAGGCACCAACAACCCTGAATAGGAATGTGGGAGAATGTGTGGATCGAGAGAGGGAGAGAGTTTTTTTTTTAATGCACCAGCAGTTTGATCTTGGGCCCACCATATTAATTATTAAGTCAGTTTGGTCAAAATTAAACTATTTTTGTTGCCAAATTTATGTGGTTCAAAGGGTTATCTGTAAATGTTCATAATCTCTCTYCAGAACCCCACATCAAAAGATCCGAACTATTCTTTAACATTTATCTACCTTATACGGTAACGCCAGTGACTGCAGCTGGACGTTTTGTCCTTCAACTTTTTAGCATCATTGCTGCTACAATCAACACAGTACTTGGATAARGTGATTAAATGATGACATTGTGCAAGCAGTGAAAATTGACATGATTTATGTAGGGCTTATTGAGCTTGAGCAGCTGAAAAGTTTTGGTAGGCGTACAGTATTTCAAATGAACTCTCTCATATCAACAGAGCTGAGAACTAAATAGAATACAGTTAGAATGCATGAAGTTTTAGCTGGTCAGGTGCTTATGGATGAAAACCCTCACAAACATGAGGAGCACATCATGCAAACTCCACACAGAATGACCCCCAGCTCTGAAAGTGAAAATAAATTTTACAGAATGGAGAAAATCATGAAAGGAAGGAGAAGCGAACACCAGATTTGTAATAAGAAAGACGCTGGAAAGAAAAACAAGACTTAAGTTGTTTGTCGCAAAAAGCAAAGAGGATAGAAGAGGAGGAGGAGGAGGAATGAGAGATGGATGGATAGAGTGGGAGGTTCATAGAGTCCCTCAGTGTGTCTGCATATCTCTCTCTCTCCTGCTGATGATGATGAGTCACTTGTGAAGTTGGTTACATAAAAAACCTCGCTATCCCCTGCCTTCAAACTCCTTCCTCTTCACTAAGCAGGTAACACTTTTCACATCAGCGGGCCATTAATGGCTGACAACCCCTCACTCCCCCCACTTTTTTTCTTATAAGGAGCAGAGGGACCAAATAAAGGCCTCTGTGATCAAGCCAGCACGCACACTATTCTTAGCCAGCGTCCCTCAGTTCTCACCTCTGGCTCTGCTGCTTGACTGAGAGCTGCAGCTTCACTCCCACTGTGGATGAAAGAATGAATATTAGCTTGATTATGTAAGAGCAAAAAATTAGGATAAGCGTGAGCCAAATCAAGCTTCAGTCATGCTTCACAAATACGGCAGGATTCCGGACAATATTGTTACTGTTGGATGAGATGATGGAGTAGAAAAAGCAAGTGGAAAACAGCAGCTAAAGTATCTAAAACAAATACCCTATGTAGGCAATAAATTTGCTCAGGGGCCCACAGCTCAGGGGCCGGACGTCCAGTAATTAAATAAATACAGTATACTTTACATTTTTCTAATTTTTAAAAAATAAAACAAGAGTGAGATTTGTGTGATTTAATTTTTTTTTATATAAAAGGAAGTCAATTGCAGACTGAGTTGTATAGCCCTGTCATAAATCATCTACAGTATATAACAGGATTGCCTCGCTGACTAAAATAATCAATTTTAATCAAATAATTAATAAAAAACTAATTCATTTTTTAATGAACTTATCAGCAGGCCAAACTGAAGTCACCTGTGGGCTGACAGTGGCCCACAGACTGCCATTTCAATAACCCTGCCATAGGGCAAAAGTGTTCTTATTATTTTTTAAAGAAGACGTGTTCCCATACCTAAGTTTTTATTCTTCATGTAGACATCCTTTTATCACACAAATCAGTGAAAGCCCCCTAAAATATTTGCACTAGCTTTACAAAATAAAAGTCTTGTAAAATATGTTCAAATTTTCCATTATTATTATTATTATTATTATTATTATTATTATTATTATTATTATTATTATTATTATTTAAGCACCATTTTTATCTAAGCACTTTGTTCCTTTTAGTTTCACTTAATGGCCCTGATGAAATTTTTATAATATACTTGTAATTATGTGACAGGTTTACATGAGTCATGTGTTGTTTTCATCATAGGGTGTGTATCTTTTTAAACCATTGATCTGACACTGTTGAGAAATTTAAAGGTTGACACAGATTTCACTCACTGAAGCAGTAAATCACTGCTCGAGGGAGGGAGACAAGAAAAACTAGCTTGAGAACTCAAACACGCATCAGACTAAAAAATACCTACAGTTCGTAGCAAAGATGGGAAAACTTAGAAAATGTTTTTTTAACAACGTCCTGATTACAGTTTATAACTTTTTTACTATTATATATAATTATGAGGCACTTTGCCTGTAAAATAACATTTTAGTTGCTCTGGCAGATTACAGTTACTTTTTGCAGCTGCTGAGTCAAAACACTCGTTTAGTTTCTGAAGCATCATGAAAGGTCAGTTTTGAATAGAACTAAATAATTAAATGTGAAAATATTCTTTTTTTTTCTTTAGATTTTAAAACAATATTAAAAATATCTCAGAACCAAACCAATAAGAGATTGTAATTAACTGGATCTCAAAAATAATTGTTTTAGTTAGCTGTGAATATGCAGTAAGATCTACTGTAATGGTTCAGAGTTTTATTTAGATTTAATTATATGTGTGCTTAAACAGATGTTAAAGAGTTGATGACTAATATCTCCTTAACGGTTGAGGTCATAGATGTGCCTGCAGGACACGATACACACATCTTCACTTTCTTCTTTCACCGTGCAGCTTTTGACAGCTTTTGAGTGTTATCACGCTGGCAACAGCATAATTATTACTCCTTGTTTTTGAACTGCAGCTTTAGTTCAGCACAGGGAGAGATGCAGGATCCAGACACTGCAAACGCAGAACATCGTGCCCACAGGCCAACATTAATGCTTAAAGTAGAAGTTGAGTGTTGATGCTATGAATAGCAGCAACGAACGTCACGGCCAAGATAAAAAGCAGAAGGAAAGTTGTTTTTTTTGTCTCTTTTGTAATAACAAGAATATAAAAACAATATGTGTGAGGAGTCTGTTTGGTACACAAAGCTCATTAAGCCTCTGCTGGGGGGTGGAATGAGACATTAATCTCCAGGCTGGATTGTTAACTGTTGGAGGACCCACCTTTGTGTCACTCTGTCACTCTGCACCACCGATGTCAGGGTTGACTCACAGTCTGCTAACTTCAAGCCTGTCAAAAGTTTCCCAGCTCTCACCCTTAAGTTGAGAAGCTTTGATTGTAAAAATAAGATTCTGACGAAGTCTGTATTTGTCTATTTTTGTGCTTTGTTCTGCGTGGCTTTGAATGCGTATCATCTTTGCATCCGGCAAGTTGAAAGTAATTTTTATATAACTTCTATGTAGAYATGTGACAAAGTAAAAGGAAGAGAAATGTTTTGCTGAAACTCCAAAAGGTTTTAGTGAGTGAAAGGTTTTATGACATTAAAATGCTGTGGCTTTGTGTGATAATAACATGCTTGTACTATTGTTTAAAGATAATAGTAATAACAAACCCGTCCTTTGAGAAAGGCCTGGTTTTCAATTTAATCATCAGACTTTTTATGAGCAAATTTTTATTGTCTCAAGCAAAAATGTACACTCATAATGGTTTCTCCTGTTCAAACAGGACAAGTTTACAAATACTGAGCTCAAATTTGGTGTGGTGGTACCTGAGCCTGACCCTCCACACATATTCTGAGCACAAACAGACAAGCTTTTTAAATTTTTACCATTACTATTTGGAGTAAACTTTGCCTGTTTTGGGATGGATTTTAATGAAACATTTGGGAAGTAATCACTAGATGTACATCTACAACTGATTAACTTTTGGAGTTTGAATCTAATTCAAAATGGCCACCAAAGCTAATCAACATTAGCCAATGAAAACACATGAAAACACAGTCAATTTTACAGGTAATGGGCTGAAATTTGATATTTTAGTAGCCATTCACAACACATACTCTGCAGTACAACACATAAAAACATATAAATTTGATAGATTATTTCTTTGTTAAAACGATGCTTCTTGGTAATAAATCTTATAGCGGGCACCTGATTGGCAGCAGCTGGGGCCACCAGAAGCTCAAAACAAATGTCAGTTTTTCATGTGCGCAACCGACATACTCAGCTCTGCTGCTCATCCCACAAATGCATGTTCCTTACAAATGTGGCACCATTTAAAAGATAATTTAACAGGGTTTCCAGCAGTATAAGATTGATTGCCAAGAAGCATTGTTGCAACAAAGAAATAATCCACCATTACCATTAATTTAAAGATTAGAAGAAAACTGTCTGTACATAACTCAAAAGCTTCGCCTAGTACCGGATGTTAAAGTTTGTACAAAGCTAAAATGCATCAAAGTTGCACAATTTAAATAGACCTCAGTTAAAGTGACACTATATATATATATATATATATATATATATATATATTTGCATTGATTCACTCTTTGAATTATTGTAGATTAACATCAAAATCTAACGAAGTRGCTGCACTCGTGGGATGAAGGTCATTGACGTCAGCCGCTCTAACTGGTCATAATCTTAGGTTGACTCATGTTCTTTAAAATGAGATGCGTTTTCCCTATTCCCTATGTTCACTCATGTTTTAGATTATCTGCTCTCAGAATGCTCCACGCATCATACTTTCCACATGATAATGAAAGATTTCACGTATTTTAAGGGGGAAAAGAAGATGACCAGTGAGACGCCGCCTACAGTCTCCATGGCTCTGGTGAACCCCCAAATGCCCTCTGCCTCTGCAGACGGCAAGAACTCCTCCACGCAGCAGCTCTCCATCAGTGTGTGAGTCACAGTTTAGCACATTACGTTAATGATATGATAATGTAGAAGAATATGTGCAACACACAAAACACCTGCTATTAAAAACGAAGCAGCGCAAACTGGATGAGCCTCATAAAATCTGTCGTTAAGTGCCTGATGTTGTGACTCCAGGTGCGCCGTCCTGTACTCCTACAAACCTCGACAGCCAGAGGAGCTGGAGCTGAGGAGAGGAGAGATGGTGGGAGTGTATGGAAAGTRCAAAGAGGGCTGGCTGCGTGGGCTGTCGCTCAGGACGGGCAAAGTTGGCATCCTTCCCAGCAACTACATCACCCCCGTGCTCAGGTGAGAGGGCTGTGCTCTTTTTAAGTGCCGACAGACTCAGAGTAAGTTAAGTCATGCGCATGTGCTTCAGGTTTATGAATCAGAACTAGAATATTTTTGAAGACATTCTGAAGGATGCCAACATAAATACTGACAAGAAACATCCACTTTCTAATGATCCAAACAGAAATAATGTTTAGATTTTTCATATAGATTCTATAAGCAGAGAACCAAGATCAAAAGAAACATAAAAGCTGCTTACAGGTGGCTTATTATGATCACCAAGTTAACCATGTGTCCATCCCTGACTGCAAATGAGAGAGGCACACAGAAACTGACTTAAAATTAAACCTCAAACAGCAGCTGTGCAAAAAACTATTACTCAGATCTTAAGCAGGTAACATCATATATGTGGATTTATTTTTGTTTCTACATTGTTTTTTTATGTTGGAAACATGACAAGTTAAAAAWAATCTTTACTTGCAGTTTTGAAGAGAATGTTTTAGCTTAAGTCTGGAGGCTTAGGTGTGAACTCTCTGTACAAGTCCTATAGCAGTCAGAGACACACTGGGTGAAAGAAGATAAAAATACTACATGTTGATGTATAATTAGTACATGTAACAAAAAATGTGGGAGTAAGTAGAGTTTATCAAGGTGAAGTTAGGGTGACGTCATCAACTGAACATTTCAGAGGAAATTCTCCATATATCATAAAATTTAATCGGTGATTTGATAAAATGCTAAAAATATCAAAATGCTAGTTAAGTCATGTGAATTCAAAGTTCCTTTAAACTTTAAATTGTTTTTGCTGTGAAGTATGCCTGGGGTATAGCGCTCCAAAGAGAGCTTTTTTTATTATTTTAATACATTTTACTTAAACCCCATTATTTTTTTGTGCAGTTTATTGGTAGTTATGACTTGTGTATAGCTAACTACCACCTAAAAGTCATTGCATATTTGCACTGCATGAGTCACAAGGTTTAATGTATAATTTGCATGATTTCTTTTAAAGCTGTGCAACAAGATACAAGACAAAACTGCAAATGGAATAGTGATACGGCTGCTTCAACGCTCAGTTCAGATAGATTAATAAAAATTCAACTTTTCAAAACGTCTTTTTCTTTTAACTACAGAACGTCAGCCAGAATTGTGGAGACCAGAGCAGCTAATGTGTTCTCACAGTTAAACACATTGTCTGGAAGGAAACCCGCAGCGACAAAGAATCCTGCTGTGGTGCTGGRGCTCGATAAGGTGAATGGTGATGGAGCGATGTTCTCAATGGGGCAGTTCTCATCTGGGCCAAATGGAGCACAGCATGCAATGTCGTCCGCCGGCGCTGCCAAACCGTCCAGTGCTCAAGGTTGGGACACCGTGAGGCGCGCTTTTAACCCACATAAAGGTGCGTGTGATAACAGCTGCCAGACCATGACTCAGATTAGAGGTCGACGAGTCAAACTTTTCTTTTTACATCTTTTTCAGCCTCGAACCGTCCCTCTCACATGTCCACCTTCAGCATGCCATCCAACTCGCAACCTTTTGCACAGGTGCAGGCGTCGGGTTACTCGCCTGCCCTGCAGAGAAAGAAAATCAGCAGCATCCCGTCTAACTCACACAAACTGCACGGCTGGATGACTGAGCCAGCGGCGCCCTCTGCTGCCGCAACAATGAAGTACAAAGACTTTGCCTCTTCTGCAACATTTCACTACCCCAGACAGCCTGTGAACACGCCTCAGTCGATTCTGGTCAAACCTGATGCTCACAAGCACCATACAGACAAGGTGATGCTAGGTTTGACGAATAGTTGTGAAAGCCAAAAGGTGTACACAGTTCAGTATTCTTATTTTGCTCTTCCACAGCATCAGAAGTCGGTGCGGTTTCAAGAAGATGAAGACTCCCCTCCTCCGAGACATCGCACCTCCTCTTGGTCGTCGGGAACTCAGCTTCACCCCAACTACCGTCCCGGACCCTCGCCTTTAGAGGTGTGGGCCCCGTCGCTCACCATGGGAAGAGATGGACCAGGGATTATTCTCAAAGAAGGAAAAGGTCCAGTTCTCAGGAAAGGCCTGGAAACGTCCATCTCAGACCAGAAACCACTGCACTCGCAGCCATCGCAGTCAGCCCTGTCAGCTCAGTTCAGCCCTATCAGGTAAACAGGATTTAGACTTTAAGCCACACACAAAGACCAGAGATGGATTAGATTGTTTTTGATTTGCTGATATTGTTTTCCTTTCTTCCAGATCCAGAGTGACCACAACACATTTAGCCCAGATYGACTCGGAGCTCACTCTGCTTCAAGGAGAGGTGGTCCTCGTCCACAGACCCCGGCCTGACGGACGGGTTCTTATCACACAGGAGAGCAGTGGGCAGACGGGCTTATTCCACAGCAGTATTCTTCAGTCTCTGGAGAGGCTCAGCTGACTCTGTGTTCCTGCTGCACTTATATAAATATTTCTGTGTTTTTAATCAAATTGCCAAAGGACTTCAGTGGAAACAGTTTGGGACCAAAAGTTAATCCTGCCAGTCGACAATCAGAAGAAATATGTTTGCTTTTGGTCCTGAGAGCGWGGGCAAAATTTTCTGGAGACATATTTTGTGTTCTTGAATGTGTGTGTGCATGTTTGTGACACTCAAAACTTTTGCACTGAAACCCACTTTATGACTACATAACCATGTTACACAGTGATGAGTGCCTTTGTCAAAATGTACTACAGAAAGGAGGTATATTTGAATACATTTAGAGAAATTATAATGTAAAATATGTGTACAGCTTACATGTTATTAAAATCTAGTTGCTCAACTTGATTAATGTGGCATCCTCCATTTAGACTCAGTAATTAATGTGTGTGCATCAGTTTTTCACTGTTTTTACAACTCGAAGTCAAGTTATCTACAAACCTCAACAGTTTCGCAAGCTCAGTGAAAGCACATCTTGAACGTGTTGTATCACCTTATCTTATAGAATTCATCTAAATGCTGCTTGTTGAAACTGATATTTATCATTTGGCAGATTCATCCATATTTTCAATTTGATGCATGGTTCAAAAATATTCAAAGGACAGCAAGACGCTGGATTAGAAAATCAGAATGTTTACCAAAACCAATGTGGAATTTTAAATGCAAGTAAGTTAACTAAACTGACCTTTAAAATAAATGACTGGTTTTAAGTGGCTGAGACAGGTGAACATTTGAAAGGTATGACTCGATATTTTTTCCTACATAGTGTATTTTTCAAAAATCAGATTATCTGAATCTCTGAAAAAAAAATCTGCAAATAAACTCTGAATTATCATAACCTTTGGGTTGTCAAGCTCTGCTGATATTAAAGCACAACCATTTTCACCCCAACAGTTAAAGGAAAACTCTGCCCTGCAAAGTGAAAACTTTAAAACAGTTTTATGACTAAAGTCAAAGTGATTCACCAGGATGTCCTTTTCCAGAATTAATATATCAAACAACAGTATTCACAAAATACAACGGCATGAATTAACATCAAATAAGCTAAAGCATTATAGCATGCTTCAACTTCATTGATGCAATCATTATGGCAGTTATGAAAACATATGGTAGTTCATCTGCATTGAAACAATAAAATGCTAAACCAAACAAGAATTGGAACATACACGTGTGTGTGTATGTGTATGTGTGTGTGTGTGTGTGTGTACATAACAAAATTGTCACATTTTTTATAGTGGTAAAATAACTACGAATATAGAAAATATTGTTGGCATTTAAATCGTATTCATCATTTACAGTGCCACAAACAAAGTGTTATTAGTATCAACATTTGCAATGGCGTTAATCAATTTCTATGGTTTGTCAAAACACAAAAGAACTCATTCAAACCTAGGCCAATATGGGACAACACTTTCCTTGCTTAGGGCCCCACAAATATCTAGGTCCGGCCCTGTTTTTTTCTTTGTGTCTTTACAGCCTCAGTGACGCTCGACTGCTTTATGTTTGTAATAAAGTCCAAAAACATATATTTGAGCTATATTATATATTCTCAGGATCTTTTTTTTTTTTTATCAAATTGCTTTTGCGGTAGTAAACGCATAATAAATATTTTTCTTTATGACAACTGTCCAGTCACAGCTTGGTCGTAACGCGCATGCGCGCACACGGACGAGCCTGGCAACAAGGTGTAATGAAATGGCCACAACGCTGGTGTTATTCTTCTTCAAATAACCCCGAGTCAAATGAACAAAAGACGTCAAACGTTTGACATTAATTGTACACAAATTACATCCGGCTTGTTACGTTTTCACCATGCCGGTAAGTCGTCAAGCCTGTTTTTGTTGTTGTTCGCATGAAAAGGGTTCCTCCCTTCGGTTGATGTGATGCTAGCCGGGTTAACACGGCTAGCTTAGCGGTTTTCGCTGTGTGGTAAGATGAAAGAGAAGGAATGTGACCGGTACAAAACTTGGCTATTCCCCTTTAACACGATGAAGGTTTTACCCCTGTTGTTTGTGATAATTTTATTGTCTTTGTATCCTCTGCCCCGCCGAACAAAACAACACACATAAGGTTATCGAGCATATGCGGTGGCAATCTTATCAATCTTATATTTCACCTTTTATCTGTATGTCAGCTGCACCCTAAATGTCCACCCACATTCATCTTACCTTCTAATATGTGTAATGTTTTTCTTATTTCAGAGCAGTAAGCCAGACAAACAGGAGGTCAGTGATAATGTCAAAGTTGTGGTGCGATGTCGTCCCCTCAACCAGAAAGAAAAGGCGATGGGCCACAAGCAGTCCGTCACTGTGGACGAGATCCGCGGGACCATAACCGTGAACAAACTGGAGACCTCTCAGGAGCCTCCTAAAACCTTCACCTTTGACACTGTGTTTGGACCTGACAGCAAACAGCTGGACGTCTACAATCTCACTGCCCGCCCCATCATTGATTCAGTGTTAGAGGGATATAATGGTATACTTCATGTGATTATGCATGATATGATTCACTGCACCAGTTCTGTAAAATATCAACACTACTTTCAGTTGTTCCACACACTGCTGCAGTGTTTAATATGCACACTTTTTTTCACCTAAAGCTAACTAATTACTCATCCTGCGTTTTTTGTGATCCATGTTGTTAGTAATTTCTTCTTCTGTTTTTTTTTTTTTTTTCAGGCACAATTTTTGCATATGGGCAAACCGGCACAGGAAAAACATTCACCATGGAGGGTGTGAGAGCAGTGCCGGAACTCAGAGGGATAATCCCAAATTCTTTTGCTCACATTTTTGGTCATATTGCCAAGGCAGAGGGTGACACCAGGTATAATATCAACATGGACACAAATAACAGGAATGCTGAAGTGATACAGTCTGAACCTGCAGTATTTGGTTTTACAGATGAACCTGTTGCGTTATGAGTGACCTGACAATATGACGAGAATCATACGCGACAAGTTGTTGGGAAATAGGCTGTCGCATCTCTTTTTGTTCAAATGATGACGCTTCTGCAGTTTTAAAAAGAAAATGAAAGGATGCATTTTGAACTGTAAAAATGTATGTTAAAAGTTCAAACCATGACCTGGATAAATGTAATCTTTGCGTTTGATCAGTTCCTGTAAAAATACTGCCTACAAAGCTGCTTTGCAAAGTTTTGGTCATGACCATGTGATGAGTGTCATTCAGGATACGACGTTACACTGTCTCTCCAAACTTACACATTTTTTTACTTATTAAGGATCTTAAGTCTCATTTGCTATATTCAACTTACTACTTCAGGTCGCAGCTGATAAAACGTGGCCTGTCTCTAGTGTATGAAAATTGTCGCATTGATTTGTGGAAAATGACCCAACTGGATGGTTGTTTTGTTTTGTTGTCAGATATACTGTCAAAATATACCAACTTTTTGTTAACGGCGCATAATTACTGGCTCTGGATCTTCCTGTCGTATTTCGGAGATAAAGTTTTTAAGCAAAATGTACTAGTAAAAATCCAGGTGCTAAATTGTTTTTAATGTTTACCCATATTACAGCAACAGTCAATATAATACACATCCTCTAACAAACTTCTGAGTTTTAAAAATATGTTCTGGTACTGCTGGAACTCTCTCAGCTGTAATTAGTTTGCTCACTTGAAGTTGTATTTTTTTGTTGTCCTAATTGAACCTAAGATAAGAGTAAAAATCTCCATGTAGCACAACTCTTAAAGATGAGGGTGTCACAAACGAAAGACTTGCATTCATTATTTTTGCATTTTACCAACAAACCATTCTGTCTTTACTCGTCTGTGATAGATTTTTGGTTCGTGTTTCGTACCTGGAGATTTACAACGAAGAAGTGCGGGACTTGCTCGGCAAGGATCAGATGCAGAGACTTGAGGTAACAGGATGTTTAGATGCAGCAACTAACAACAAAACTGGTTTTGATGAGTTGTTTCAAAAAAGACTTCAGTCATTTTTCTGAGTGGGAAGTTGCAAAGAATCTGTAGGTTTGTACAACCTCAGTTCTAAAAAGYTTAAGAGGTGTAAATGTAAATTAAAAACAATGCAATATTTTTTTTATTTCATAAACCTGTATAAATAATATAACATATTAAACATATTAAACATTTAAAATAAAGTTTTGAATCTGATGGCAGCAACACATAAAGCTGGGATAGGGGCAACAAAAAACTAATGAACAGCTTGAAGAGCATTCGGCAATAAACCAGGTTAATTGGCAATAGGTCAGTGGGTATAAAAATCATCTTAGGGAGGCTAAATCTCTTAAAAGTAAATGTGAGCAGAGACCAGTTTGAGTAAAAACAATAATTTAATAGTGTTTGTCAACAGGCGTCATGGTGGCACAATTACGGTAGTGGAGCTGGTGCCTCTTAGCTAGAAGATTGCCAGATCACATCCTGGCCTGGGAACTTCTTCTGGGTGAAGTTTACATTTTCTCTCAGTTTATCTCAGGCATCCAGCCTGTTTTCAGCACTCAATTTGAAGCCTGCCTCTCTGGTGGTATAGGAGTGCATTAATATCTATGACATGGGCAGCTTACACATCTGGAAGGGCGTCATTAATGCCGAAAAGTATATATGGGTTTTGGAATAACATACTCCCATCTTGGTGGCATCTTTTCTAGAGAAGGCCTACGCTCGTTCCAACAGCGTGGTTTTGTAGTAGAGGAGTCTAAGTGCTGAAGTGACCCACCTGCAGTCCAGGGCCCATATCTATCAAACTTCTTAGAGTGGAATTTTAGACTCAAATGCTGACAATTTCTTAAAGGTACTCCTTGTCTCAGACGTAAGTGTGAAAGCCAGTCATAAAAAGTCTCAAGATCAGGAATCACTTTTACTCTCCTAGATATTTAAGATGGCTTTCGAGGTCTTTCAACTGGTTAAGAGATGCCACTAGGGGTCTGAGATGGACTGAGAATACAGAGATCACAGCTGTCCTCCTCAGGAATAACCAGCACCACCTCAGAAAACGCCTTAAGTGGGCTGGGGTTCCCCTGCCAGAGTGTGATTTTCAGTTATGTGCAGGGTAACTAAAATAAGGTGTGCAAAACAGGTTTAGGCATGAAATACAAAAGAAATAAGGAGGAAAATATGGCACCCATAGTGCTGGACTTAAAGCGAATATTTCTGGCCAGCTTTTGGAGAGAATATTACCGTATATCATTATTTTCAGTCAGAAGGTGAGTGAATGCAGACTGCATGAGATGCAGTCAAAAGTCTGGGGATTATTATTATTTTTTGTCCGCTCTAGTTACGCTGGGATTGAACTTACCTTTTATTATACTTTAAGAGCAACGCAGGGCAGCCCCCTCCTCACCGGAGGTTGAGGGAGAGTCAGGCTGTGGAGCTATCAGATCGAGCTGCTGGTTCAAAGGGTTGATTCAGGATACATGAAGCCTGGTGCTACTGAGGCTGTCTGTGTTAGCATTATTGCTATCATAACAGACTTTCATGGTGCTAGCTGTTCCAACCTCTGACTGCTGCTGGGGCGTGTCTGAGAGAGAGGCTTTTATACCAGAACAGGCAGCTTTATTGACAAAAGCGCTTTATTGACAAAAGCATGAACCAGTGATGAAAACAAACTGTCTTAAACCAATATGTAAATTCAACAGCAGCATCAATGTTCAACCTATAGCAGTGGTTTTCAACCCTGGTCCTGAAGGCACACTGCCCAGGTTTCCCTGCTTTGACCCACCTGGTTCAGATGATTAACAGGCTTTTGTGTAACTTCAATCAGTTAACAATTGAAATCAGCTGTGTTGAAGCAGGGGAACATCTAAAACATGCAGGACAGTGTGCCTGGAGGACCGGGATTGAAAAACACTGACCTATAGTATGCACTATGCAGCACTAAGACGTTTTTAAACTAAATATTGCAGATTTTTACAAATTTACACAAAAACGTCAAAATTAGCACACAAATAGTACTTTATAACCTTTGACACAATTTAGACAGTTTATCAGCAAAAAAGTTAATTTTGGGATAAATTACTCTTTAATTTGTTTAACTTAACCTTCATAAAATAAGTAAATTTTATTTAAAAAATCTATAGTACTCTCATACACCTTATACATAAATACAATTGATGGAGCGACGTCTTGGGCAGAGTGGATAACGGTGAGGTGGGTTTGTAAAAGAGACGTCTACGGGAAGTTTAGTGGAGACATGAGGAGGAGGGTGTGAACCAAACCAAACCACCATGTTCTCAGGCTGGAGATGAGTTTGTTTGTTTAAATCCGTGAGACTTTCTCTTAACGTCTTCATGCAAAATGGGGAAAATCCATGTAATTTATGGACAATCAGTACAACGTGACATGTATGAACATTACTGTGTTGAATGTAAACATGTCTTAGGATTTTCACAATTTTATCTTGACATTTCTCAGAGAATATTGTTGGACATGAAATCCGAGGCAGTGATTGGTCCATGCTGGGGATTTTCWAATGACGTCATCCAGGATCAGCTTTGCGGCACAGCAAAGTGTCGTAAATCAGCTCTAAGACTGACTTAAGGTTTAGTCTGACACTTTGCTTAAAGTGAGACTGYGACACTTGATTCTTAACAGCATTCTTAAGAGTTATTCTAAGTTTGATAAATATGGACCTAGACCTCTTGTCACCAGTTGAAATTATTTGGTGTACCATAAAACAAAYTATGTGGAAAATAAGACTCGTCTAGTCCTGCATCAGACAAGAATGAAACAACATTCTGCTCCAGAAACTCCAGCAGCTGGTTGCTTTAGTTCCTAGACATTTACAGACGGTTGTTAAAAGACTCTTGCTTTACAGAGGTAGACATGACCCAACGTTGTTGAGATGTGCTGTTTTCAAGATTTAAAAATTTTTTAGAAGTACAATTTTTTAATTTAAACTTTTGATATGTTTACTTTGTACATATGAGTTTTGCAAATCAATGCTTTCTGTTTTTATTTTTATTTTACACAATGTCTCACCTATTTTCTGAGATTTGGGGTTGGTGAGATTTTTTTTTATAGCTCTTTCCTAATAAGGATCTTTGTTTCATCAGGTCAAAGAAAGACCAGATGTCGGTGTCTACATCAAGGACCTCTCAGGTTATGTTGTGAACAATGCTGACGACATGGACAGGATTATGACTCTGGGTCACAAAAACCGTAAGCAGAACTTCTCACTGAAGACAGAAGTGCTTGGTGATGACATTGAAGCACGTTTTGGTTTTAGGAAATCAAAATAAACAAATTAATTGAAAGGAGACATGTAATCTAAAATCCACTTTTTTAGCTGTTAAAACCATTTTGTGTACTTGGAGTCTCTGCAAAAAAAAAGAGTGAAAGTGGCGCTGGTATGTCAAAATAAGGAGGAATTCTGACCAAAGCATTGCAGTTCCACTGTATAAAGACCCCAACTGAATGATTTAAATGTGAAAAAGAAGAATTTCAAAGCATGATATGTCTAAAGAAACAAACTTTTTTTACTTTAGGAAATAAATGTAGCTAAATCTAATAGGAATAATTTCAACATCTATTTTTGTCTAATTAATGGTAATTTCTTATGTTTAGGGTCTGTTGGGGCTACAAACATGAACGAGCACAGCTCTCGATCTCATGCTATCTTCACCATCACCATCGAGTGRAGTGAGAAGGGTGTCGACGGTAACCAGCATGTGCGCATGGGGAAGCTTCATCTGGTCGATTTGGCGGTGCGTATTCAAAAAAGYATACAAAAATAATTCTTCAAAAACACGACAACTCTTTTAAAACTCTCGTAGCATTTGAAAGTGGCAGATTTTTTTGTGAATAATCTAATCTACCGTTGTGCCGCAGGGTTCGGAAAGACAGGGCAAGACTGGCGCCACGGGGCAGCGTTTGAAGGAAGCAACAAAGATCAACCTCTCCCTCAGCACGCTGGGGAACGTCATCTCTGCCCTGGTGGATGGCAAGAGCACACACGTTCCCTACAGAAACTCAAAACTGACCCGTCTGCTGCAGGATTCACTGGGAGGAAACTCCAAGACCATGATGGTACGCCTTGAGCTTAGTGTCATGTTTTACATATGGCTTTTATTGAAATCACTAATTCAGTGTTTCAAAGTTGGTTGGTTTTGTTTTGTTTTATTCTTTTGTTTTTTAGTTAGCTCAAACAGGTCTGACCAACAGTTTTTACCTCCAAATTTATTTGACAAATTTTCCCCACCAGTGTGCAAATATTGGCCCTGCGGACTACAACTACGATGAGACCATCAGTACCCTGCGCTATGCTAACAGGGCTAAAAACATCAAGAACAAAGCCAGAATCAACGAGGATCCAAAGGATGCTCTGCTGCGGCAGTTTCAGAAAGAGATCGAGGAGCTGAAAAAGAAACTGGAAGAAGGTAAAGGGCAAACAATAAATGCCTAACTTTAAATTGCAAACTTTATTTTTTTTAAATTGACGTGCGTTTTTGTTTTGGATAAATCAAAGGCGAAGAGATCTCCGGCTCGGATGGCAGTGGCTCAGACGACATGGATGAAGGTGAAGATGAAGCAGGGGAAGCAGGAGAAGGTCGCAGGAGGAGGAGGGGTAAGAATATGCCACAAGTCGTTCGTTACGTAATCATTGCGTATGGCTAGATAATCATCTGCATAGTTTGCGAATAGTGCTTTTTCAGCGCAAAAATGTACAATTTTAGTCAGTACTTCCTCAGATGTTTATCTAGATTTGTGAGTTCCATCATGACTTTACATTTAAATTTTAGTGTGTGTTTAATGTGCTCATTTAGGAGTTCCCCTGGTATTCTCACCTTACTCACCTCTTACTACAAGTGGGAAGCGTTAAAACTCAGCAAGAATTCTTTCATCTGTTTTTGTTGCATAGCTCACATTGTCAACATTACATAGAAATGTTGACAATGTGAATGAGAAAAAGCGGTTTGTCATTCATATTTTAATTTTTTTTCTAAGTTAGCAACACGCTACCCTGGCTGACTCAGCAATTTTCATGCCCACGCTTAAAACTAGTTCATTCGTTAGTCTCATATTTTTCACCTTCCTTTTTTTTCCTTTCTCTTTGTGGGCTTTGTGGCATTTGGTGTTTCCACCGCTGCTTTTCAAACAGTCATCATCACTAATGGCTCAGAATTTACCTACACTTCATCAAAGCCGCTGCCCACTGACGACCAATCTAKAATTAGTGAGTCTAGGTAACGCTCCAACCGCCTGCCTGTCCACAGATTTTAGACCTTTTCACACACAAACTCGTGTGTATAAATAATACAATATAAAATATTTTTCATCTATTACCACCTTTTTGTTATTGTAACATGATATATATTTTAAATGACATTCAGCGTTGCCCCAGAAAACTTACCAAGCCTGGGGTTATTGTTTTTATGGTGGGAGTGGGGAACAGGTGGCGAAAGTGGAGCGCTACGTTGCTAATGCTAAGTTCAAACTATTTATCCTGCTGCCTCAATCTCCACACATCGTCTGGAAGTAACAAACTTTCATCTGCGCAGAGTGGAGGGGCAAATAAAACATGGTGGCCCACCAGGACTATGATTCACTGTGGGAAACATTGTCATTGAACTTATTGACCAGCATTAACATCATGACATCAACAAGTAGTTCTTTGGGGGCCTCGTCTCTAAAGAGGTGCTCTTCATCAAGTTTATTATAAAATCCACGTGACCTGTTGTTTTTATTCATCAAAAACATGAATGAGATTCTACTTTCTAATTGTCTTTTCACTTTCTTCATTTGCTTGAGTGCTCTTTGTTGTATTTCTGTTTAAATTTAGATAACGACCTATTWGTGTTATTTGTGATGTGCATGTAGGTAGTTCCTTTAGGGGCTTTCCTGATGCTTAGAACTTTAGTCATTTGTAGAATTTTTTTTTTTTCTATGTCAATTTGTCTAACTATGGATATTGCAAAAGAGTGAGTAAAAATGTCCAACGACTACTGTGCAATAATCATTGTTTAATTAATAATTCATTAATGATGTTTTCTTTAATTAAACCTGTTATTGGAAAGCTTGAGGAATTTTCTTTCAGAAGACAGTACAACTAAATGACCGAACAGCCCATTCCATGTGGATGCTCTGTTCTCTCTGCTCAAACATGCTTTCAGAATAAGTTAAATCTGAAGGCGGAATCAAAAGAGGTGTGGGAGAAAAAAAACCCTGGTTTCTCTGACGTYTTTCTTTCATGAGAGCAGCAGAAGTCGCTAAATGGCTCTAGCCCTGTATTATGTGGCACAAATCAAAATACATCCAATTACATTTTTTTATGGTTGTAGGTTTCAAAATAACCTGACTCTTATCATGGTTGTATTGGCACTGCTGTATATTTTTGACAAAGCCGACAAAGATGTATTCCCTCCCCTGCACATATAGAGAACAATGAGCTCACAGGGCTCCAAAAAAAAAAAAAGGACACTGAAAGTTTAAAGCTAACAAGAAACCTGTGGCTGGATGCTTCCTGAAGCTGTTAGTCAGCACTTCATCACATTAACCAAATCAGTTGGAGGCGATATCCCAACCCGCCTTTTCAGAGGTCGACGGTACCGTTTCTGTTACCTCGCCCCGAGGCTCAGGGGCGTTACGGAGGTGGGGTCTTTCAGTCCCACCTCTCCACCTCCGTGTGTCTTCTGCAAGGAACTGAGGCAGCCAGACACACCAGTGACGGTATGGGCTGTCTCGTGAAAAAGCCTTTAGAGAGGTGTGCTGAAAATCTTTTGATTTGATTTGATTGAACTGATGTGTGGATATTTGGCCAGAAATGGATTATAGTAGGTGTATAGTATTATGGTACCACAGTAC